GGGGGGGCAGCGGGCAGCCGCGCGCCCTGCAGGCCGGGCCGCGAGGGAGGCTGCAGCCCGCGGGTCCCGGGGAAGGGGGCGCTCCGCCTCGCCAGGGGCCCGGAAATGGCGGGATGCTCGCGCGCGGCGGGCGGGGGCCGTGCCGGTGGGGCGCGAGGGGGGCGGCCCCTCAGACCCGGGGGCGGGGCGCGTCCTCGCCCACCGGCTCGAATTGCCCGGGCGCGAACCCGGGGAGCGGCTCGGCGGCGCCTTGCACGGCCCCGAGGCACGACGCGCACCCGGAGCTTAATTCCGGTGCTTTGGGGGCGCGTTCTTCCTGCGAATTGCGCCGGGCGTTGTCGCTGGGAAGCGGGGCTCCCGGAGACTCCGACCCGTCACCCGGTGCTGGATGTGCACAGAAATGCAAACAATGCAAGGCCAGCGGCACAGAAATGCAAGCAATGCCAGGCCAGCGGCACAGAAATGCGTTCTCCATTGTGTGTCTTGGTTGCGTTATCCGCGTGTGCATTTAAAAGTCAAGTGTGTGAGCCGCTAACTTGGGGTAGCAAGGTTTTCTGATTTCCCAGAATGCACTTGTGGGGGGGGGCGAGGTTGAAGGAAGTGGTACCCAGGCTGAGCCCGTGCTGCGCTTTCGCTTTTGCGCGGCGCCCCGGCCTGGCGCTCCCCCCCCCCCCCCCCGGGCCCGCCTCGCGCTTCGCCGGCTTTCCGTGCGGCGCCTTGCACCGGCCTCGCTTTGCTTGCATTGCCTTGTATGGACCGTTTCGGAACTCCGTGCACACAGCTGCCGCCTTCAAGTTTCTGCCCTCTTGAGGCAGCTGTGTCTTGGAATGCTTTGGACAGCTGTGTCTGCCAGGGGATGATGGGTGCTGCAGTCAGCACATCCCCAGCACATTAGTTTGGGAAAGGTGGATGCCTGGTCTCATCTTCGGGAATGGAATCGTGTGTGTGTGAACACATTTTTAAAATGTTTGCAGTGGAGGCAGGTTTTGCTTATTCTTTCTAGGCATATAATAATGATCGAGCCTGCATGCATATGCCTTTGGGAAATCTTGAACTGGTCTGTTATTTATTGGTTTTAAGCACAAGTATGTTGTTAAGGGTGCATAGTTCTCATTTCCTTGCAAAACACCTGCTCCTAAACTTCCTAGTGCTCTGTACTGGTGTGGGTTGTTTTTTTTTTTTTTTAACGAAAACGATTTGACAGATACTTGTGGTATTTTAAAGGAGGAACAGGTTTATTGTGACAGAACGTTTTCAAGCCTGTGAAGAGCATTTGCTTCTGCTGAAGAAGCCTGTAGTCTATGAAAGCTCCTGTTGCAACTGAATTTATTCCTCTGTAAGGTCCCAGATGTACCATTTGTGTGTGCTTGTGCGTGTGAGAGAGAGTTTGCTGTAACAGACATGCCCAGCTAACCCCACCCCAATCTCGTCACAACTGGTTTTGGTTTTTATTGGTATCTTTGTCCAGTCTTTAAAGAAACAGGAAATAATAAGCAATTGTGTAAGGTGCCTCTGTACATGGACAGAGTTCATCATGAATGACACCTTGTCTCCACACACTTAGAAAGGAGGAGGTAGCTTTCCTTCTGAAACAGGTGGTAGATTGACCATGGTGGGTGGAGGAGATGGGACTTATAGTCCAGCACATTGATAAACCTTGCTTTCAACATTTACTTTATACAGAAATCATTTTTGTCTCCTAAAAAAGTTTTCCTGGTTGTAAAATATGGCAGATTTGTGGCTTTAAGATGTTCTGGAATTTTGAATGAGCTGGTCAGCTGCCAGCATAGCATGCCTGCCTGCAACAAACCTTTACACCTGATTACACAGCCTTTTTGGCAGCTGGTGTCCTCTTGACTCCTGGAATTCCTTTTTTTCTGGTTCTCTGTTGTGCCCCCCTATAATTTTTATGATTCTTAAATAAACAGATCTTTGGGTTCACTTGCTAGTTGAGTGAATCCAGTTTGGCTCCCCAGACCTGCAGGACAAAAAGATTTGTCATGGCAGGCAGTTGAGTGACCTGTGTATGAAACTGCAGAGCTTTATTCTGTGTGACACAGATTTTTTTTTTTTTAATGTGGCTTCTTCTCATTTGCCTGCCTCTTGGAAAAGAGGCTGTCCTGTTTCTAGCAAATGAGGAAAAACTGTTCCTATGCAAACTGTACCTTGGCACAAAACACCAACAAAGCTTTTTAACGTATGTATTCCGTTCCTGTCCTGCTCTTTCTCCACAAAGATTAAAAGAGAATGAACAAATAAATAAAAGCAACTGAGTTTCAGTTTGTGCTCCTGGGTTAAACAGTTCGAGTGCTTCTATCCTCTTGGGAATAGTTTTCCTATCCTATCCTCCAGAGAGTATTAGAGCTACTGTGGCCCAATTGAGTGGCATACAAATGTTTTAAATAAACAAACATCTCAAGAGAGGAAGATTTCTGAGCTGAGACACTGTGGAAGAGCTCTCTGCGACACCTCTCTCGTTATCTCCTCAACACCTCCCTCGTTACCTGCTCAATCAACCTTCCCCAAAGTAGTGTTGCCCAGGCTGCTTCCATCACTGGCTCTGCTGTCTGGGCATGATGGGAGTTGTACTCCAGCTCGTCTGGAGGACGCTGGAGTTGGGAAGGCTTCCCTGGGTAAACTCATCCTGGGTTTCAGCAGGGAAGGGAACAGAAAGTTCTGTAGCCGGGGGCTCAGGTCTGAGGAAGGAGTGAAGAGGTATGGAATCTCTTACCCTCGAAATAAAAGAAGTCCCCTGAACGTTAAAGGGGCAGCGGCAAAGACGGCTGCGAGGGCACGTGCTCAAGGGCAGCCGGAGCAAAATCACGGCTGTTGAATGACCTGGGGGATCACGGCTGCTACCCCGGTCTGGTGGAAGAAGACCCCAAAACACAAGTGCAGACATCACGGTGAAAGGCCGCTTAGGAGCGTCTGGTGAGGTCTAGCTGCCAGCGCTGTTCCCCACAAGCCCCTCTTTGGATGGATGCTGGATCCATGCCAGGTTCTGTCCCTTAAAGCGTTTCGGGGGAAAGCCTGTGTTTCCTCGCCGTCCCTTTTCGTATTTGCTGGCCCTGGTTGCCAGTGGCTTCCCTGTTCCACACCCAAAAAGGTTCTTGCTGTATGCAGTTATCAAATTGGAAACGCATGAGGTGAGATCCCACATAACTTTTGCATACAGTAGACCCATGGAAAGGAACGGGACTTGAGCGAGCTATGACTGGAATTGGGCCCCGTGCCATTCCATGGGTCTTCTCTGTGCCGGAATGAGCTCAGATTGCATCTCCTTAGGCCACTGGTCCAGGTAGCTTGTCTCCCCTCCGGGTGCTGAACCTCCTGCACCCCAGGGATGAAAGCACTTTCAGGGAAGGGCTCGGGCCCCCATGCCAGTCGTGGGCAGGGCTGAAGGCAGAAAGGGCCAGGGTAAAATAGCAGCAGTTTTTGAGCAGTTTTTGAGCTGAAAGGTTTCCCTGCTCGTCCCTAAGCTTTAGGGGAGGTATTTCTGCCTTCCTGAATGGGGAGGGGGTGCACAAAAGCGACGAAGCCACTGACCCCGGGTTCGCCCCCCTCCCTCGGGGAGCCTGCCCCCAGCCTCATTCTCCTCTGCCCACTGCTTCCAGGCATGGTGCCAGCCCCAACCTGTGTTAGACCAGTTCGGTATGGTCCATTGCAGGGCTTTATCCACAAAAAAGGGATCACTGCATGGGAGGAGAGGGCTCTCCAAGATGACCTTTGAGATGAAGGTTCGCTCTCCTACGCGCAGGTCAGAGAAGAGAATCACGCTGCCTGCAGTGGGCCCTTCAGGGCAGGGCAGGGTGAAACGCAGGGCTCAACTGGGCCATTCCCATGTTACACAGCAGGGCGATGGCTCGCCTGGCAGTTGCCAAAGAGTTGCTCTCAGCACAGCTAGAGCAGACAGCTGCCCCCGTTTTTACAAATATGGACGGCATGTTTTGCAACTGATCTGGTGGTGGAGTGGTGACCGATGTGGTGCATAGAGCGATGTTCGACATCTCTGCTGAAAGCAGAGTGTGGGTGGACTTTAGTTTTTCTGGACCTATTTTCTTTCTTTTTTTTTTAATTAGAAACCAGGGATCATGGTGGAAAACAGAACCACATAAATGAAAGGATATTGGACCAACAAGTTCGTTTCGCATACCGACACTGAACACAATTCACAGTCACAGGAGCCTACAAAGCTGCTTTAAGACAGAGTTGGATTCCCGGTCCACCTAGCCCTGAATTGTCAGCACTGACTGGCAGCCACAACTCTCCAGGGTTTCAGGCAGGAATCTCCGCAGCCCTGTCTGGAAATGCTGCCAGGGATCAAAACCCAGGAGGGTCTGCCTGCAAAGCAGGTGTTCCAGGGCTGAGCCTCAGCCCCTCAGACAAACCCTCCAAGGTTTCTTATTTTCAGTAGCTAAAATTTAGGGCATACGGCGGGTGGGGAAGGTTAAATGGCTGCCAGGGTTGTTAAACAATCAGCAGTGAGAAATCCTTGCTGATCCCCTGCAGAGCACCCAGACCTGCTGGTAGGACCTGGTCGTTCCACC